AATTTTATTTGACATAAATTAAAAATAGAGTAAGGAATTACATAAATTTTAAGTAAAGTTTTTTAAAAATTAATTAAATATTTATAAATTTTAAATGGGTATAGGTACATACCCATCCTCGTCCTTATACCATGGTTCAATGAATCAGATATTACCCGCACCCGTACTCATATTTGTGTTTGGTCAAACTAGGTATTTCATGTCAAAGTTGAGACAAGTTTGGACATTATCTATAGGTACAGATTTACTTGTCATCCCTAGTTATATTTTTTTTATAACTTGAAGGTGATTGCAGATTCTTTAGACTTATATGAAGTTTTATGTTTAAGGTTTAATTTTTTTAACTGATAACTAAAAATTTAGATTCTTACTTTGTATAAGTGTAAATTAAAGTTTAAACTTTATAAATTTAACTTAAATATAATTTTAGTCCCTTTAAAAAAATTATTTTAATTTTAATCTTCTTAATTCTAGTTATTTCTCTTAAATTTTGTTATTTTTGTTTTGATAATCTCATATTTTATTTATATTCATTTGGTCATTTTTTTTATTTTAGTCTCTATAATTTTCTCATTTTCCTATTTTGGTCTCTATATTTTTTTCTCATTAAATTTTTTAATCAATTTGACAATAAGAACAAAATGAAACAAAAAATAAATCACAAGGATGATTTTTTTTTAATTACTAAAAGCTAAAAACACCAAATTTTATAGGGACTAATAAGTTATTTGAGACTATTAAAACATATTCTAACAAAAAACATAATATAAGTTATTTCTTAAATAAGTTTTAAATAATTTTTAAAAAGAAATATATTCAAGCTAAAGTTTTAATATAATACAAGGAAATAAAACATAGAAGTCAGATTCAATTTCAAACTCTAGATAATAGGAATAAAGAGATTTAACTAATTATGTCTTCTTTCAAGACCGATGAAAAGGACAATGTAATACATATAATTTTGTTATTGATGTAAAATTATTCTTTTGATTTCTTTAAATCTAATTTAATGTCTTTAGAACATTGTAGTTCTTATAAATGTAGATGGTTATATATAAATCTAACTTTTTTTTTCCAGAAATTTATTGTGTATTATTGATATTATTATTATTATTATTATGAAATTTATTTTTTCATAGTTTATGTATTATTGTTATTGTTATTCATATTTTTTAATTTTAATATCATTATATCATTACTTTAACATTCATTAATGATCTTATTCTTCAATATTATTTGTAAAAAATAATTAATGTAATTATTAATATAGATCGTTCACAAAAAAAATAAAGTAGCTAATTAAAAATAATAATTTTGAAAACAAATATTAATATTATTATAATATTTATATATCTAAATTTTTCATCATACTTTGATTGTAAAATATATATTATTAATATTAATATATTTATATAGGTATCAAATTTTATAATACTTAATGACATTAAGTGATACATTAATATCTATGAAATAAATATATTAATGTGAGTAATTTAATTTCATTAAATATAGTTAAGTCAATTAAATTTGATCAAATTATAAAATTTAAGTTTTGATTGATAATTAATGTTAAATTAAATTTAGTTTATACACACATATTTAAAAAGAGAGAGACTATTGTTGGGCGGATTTAGGGTAGTTAAAAATTTGTGCAACTAAAAGCATTATAAACATTGATAGATGTGAGTTATCATATTTTTATTGCATGTCATTTATAAATATGTGGGTAAACTAAAATTTTTAATCTGAAAATTGATTCTATATTTAAGAAGATTGTTCACCCCAACAAAAATGAAATATATAACTTATTATAACTATATTGTATCACATATAAAACCTTATAATGTGGGTTAGTTTTTGATAGATGACAACTCATGTCATACTATAAGAAAAATGCAAATTATCAACGGATAATTTTTAACGGATACAAATTTGTTAGAAAATTTATTTAATTATCAATAAATTTTTAAATATTTTTTTACATAAATAATTATTGGTATTAATTATGTAGGAGTGCATATAAATATTTTTTTATATTATAAATTAATGTCTTGCTCTTACAAAAAAAGAAAATGGGATTGATACTCAACAATAATATTATCATCACTTTTAAGCAATTTATATATTTTTTTAAGTTTTATTTAGTGATCGAATAGAATTCTGTCGTTAATTTTAACTAATATTTAGCAATCGAATTCAATTCTATCGCTAAAAAAATCAAAATTTCTTATTTAGCGACCGAATGTCATTCGGTCGCAACGTTTTTTACAATTTAGTAGCTAGTTGGTCGCTAGTTCCATCGCCACCTTTGTGTTCATGAAACACAATCAAGCAGCGACCGAAATAGCGACCGATTTTCTAGTGACGACTTATTTTGGTTGCTAAATCAGTCGCTAAATTGCGACTGATAAATTTCAGTCATTATTTTGCAATTTTCTTGTAGTGTCAACTCCATAGCCGCGTAGGTAACAATTTTAATTCCCATCTCCATACCCGTTGGGTACCTATGTACCCATATCCACACACGCGACTTGTATTTTACTTATGTATAAAGTAAATAAATCAATCAAGAGATAACATTTCACACAAGAAAACATAATATTAATTTGTCATGTCTTTAACATTACAAAAATCTAACATAAGAATTCTTATAAATAAAGATTACAAAGCATTCAATTCTTGTAAATAAACTTTTAAAAAAAATTAACATAATAAAAGTTGTAATTAAACTTTCAACATCATGATTATGTGTTAACAATATTCCCCAAGACTTGTGAAAAAATTATATAGAAATTAGTTAGATTAAAATTAAAAATTAAATAATATACTATAAATTTCAAAAACTAAATATGTAGATATTTGACCTCATCATTGGAATCAATTTCTCCATATTTTTTGCAAACACTTTTCTTCCAAGTTTATATATTGTTTTGGTCCAATAATACTAATTGAAATTACATGACAAAAAAATGAATGATTAGACAATTTAATTAATAATTAAAACCAAAAATAAAAAATAAAACAATTTTTATCAAATAAACATGGTTTAATTATTTATTACCTTGTTTATATTTCAACCAACTTCGTGCATACATAAGTGCCTCTACAGTAAGTCTAAAATGTTGAGGACTCAAAAATCTAATTCTTGTGCTAAATGCAATTTTGAAGCTACAATTGAAATTGAGATTATCAAAATATTTTTGACAATTTTTTGTAAAATTGGATACTTGATTCCATTTGTTTTCAACCATCTAAGAATGTCAAAAGTAGCACTCCTAAATAAAACTTTTTATTTCAAGTAGAGCTCTATTTCAGACTCTATTTGTTTTTCAATTATATCATTCACAAATGAGCCATAATCACTAAAAAAAATTGTTAATATTTAGATTATCCAAGTTTGAGACCCATTAACATTTGTTTGTGATGTTGAACTTTTCAATATTCCCTTAGCATTAGTTTGATACTCTTCAAACAATGAGTAACATAATTTCTTAATATTATTAATTTTAATTGAAGATAAGCTACCATAAAGCTTAGGAAAAAAATACTTCAATAATTTCTACTTGTATCTTGAATATAAAATTATATATATATATATATATATATATATATATATAATTGTGGGTGTTGGGATACAAACAAGTTCCACATCGATAAAATATGATAAAAGATAATAATTTATTTAACATAAACATACTTCAATGATAGAGAGGCCTTTTGGGTAATGACCAAAAGCAAAATCGTGAGGGCTAACGCCCAAAACGGACAATATCTCATCATTGTGGAGTATGTTTGTGTAATAACCTTATTAATAATAACACTCATAAAAATAACCCCCTCAGACAAATAACCATAAAATAACCCCATCAGTGGTATCAGAGCCGCAGGTTGGATTCGGTGACAACCAATAACCCCATAACCTCTCATAACTCATAACATATAATGTGATATATAAAGATACATTCCGCTGCATGAAAGGTTAGGTCCCTTGTTTGAGGGGAGGATTGTTATATAACATAAACATACTTCAATGATAAAGAGACCTTTTGGGTAATGACCAAAAACAAAACCGTGAGGACTAAGACCCAAAGTGGATAATATGTCATCATTGTGGAGTATGTTTGTGTAATAACCTCATAAAAATAACTATCATAAAATATTTCCTCAGACAAATACAAAAAAATAACCCCATCAGTGGGATAGGTAGGGTAGGTTGGGTACTATAGTACTTGTACCTACACTCACTAAATTTTGTGGGTCTACAACCACCCCATCCCCATCCCCATATAAGCGGGTATTTACCTGTCTCGCATGAGGGTATTTTTGTGGGTGTTTGTACAGTCTGATTTCATTTTACCTTCCCTACTTGGCGTGCATATTTAAGGTAATATAAAGTTGTAATTCAATATTTATATAATGTTATATATATATATATATATGTATAATATTAGATAGATTAAATTACACTACTGTAACTTTTATAATTATTACATCGTTCAATAATTTCATATAAAAAATAAATTTTATCTATCCAATCATTGAATTACAACTTTATAATATCTTAAATGTGTATGACGAGTTTTGTTAAAATTGAATAACAATAAGAAGACAATTAAATTGTTCATATCTTAGTATATTTTGAAATGTATATATTACTTTGATTTTGATTTATATAAATGCAGTATCAAACAATTTTTGATTAATATACAATTTTATATATATGATGTACTAGACATAATTTTTTTATCTAATGACAGATTTTAAAAAATAATCATTCAATTGAAAGTTATTAAGCATTGTAATTATTGTAAAATTTCACTTATTCCAAGAGTAACTCTTGACAGAATTACTTTATTTAATAATTCATGAATTACATTAAATTTTAATGATTTAACAGTTAAATCAATTTTTTTAATAAAATAGATGAAGTTTATAAATTTTTATAAAATTTAAAAATTATTTAATATTTTTTTCATTAAAATCAAATGGACAGATATTTATAACAACATATTGTAAGTCAATTTGTTGGTATTGAACAGATTTTAATGTTTTATTATAATTTAGATTACTAACATGCTTTCCACTGTCCAGCGAACAGTACGTAGCATACGATACAAATGTCCATATTAACTTTATTTTCCTGGGATACGTCACAGTATTATGTGATTTGTAGCTAATATGAATCATGGTGTGGCACTAGGATTCCTTGTAATGGGCAAGTTCCCATCATAAGTGCATTTGAAGACATCTGGTTTCTTTACGAGTCGGGGTCCAACTGGTACCTTGTTATTTTTAGGACGAATATCCTGCATCAACAAAAAATGATAAAATTGATTGTAGTCTACCATAACATGAAAATGTTTTAAATTATAATCCTTGAATCTGTGAATCGGGTATCCTAACATGCATATGTTCCGAGAATACATAATGATCTCTAGCTTTTTGCTTGATATATATAGTACAAGAAGTTATATCAATGGTGTTGAGCAAATGATGCTGGTAGTGGTATTCCTTCTAGTGATTTTATACTGTTTGTTGATGTGCAAAAATAAAAATGACGCAGATGTTGTGATAATTAAGTGAATAATTTCAATTCACGTGATTATGCTATGGTTGGAGTTGGATGGATGTATCTCGAGCGTGTTAATTTGAAGAAACTAATACTAGTAAATAACACTCTTATGTCTTATGATTAGGAATAATGTTATAAATAGCCGTTCTTTGTAATTGATAGTTTTTTTTAGTACAAATTACAAAAAAAAAAAAAAAAAAGCAAGAACAAAAATTACAACCTCAATTGTAAAACCTTCATAGCATTAAATAACAACATAGAAGATTACATAGATTGATAATTATTAGAAATTATTAACTTTTTCTTAACTGTTTGTTATTAATTTTTTCTCATAAATTAAAATTTTAAATATATATTATGTAAAAATTAAGTGTATTTGCCAAAAACATTTAAAAAACCTATAAACTCATTTGACCGTTTATAAATTAATTTAACCAAAATAAGCTTATTTTGTATAAGAGTTTATTTAAAGAGTTTATAACTTATTTCTACAAGTTAATTAAAATAATTTATAATTTATAATTTCTTAACTTTTTCTCTTTCATTTTTTATTTTTATTGATTTACATGAAATTTTTTTCACATCTTTATAAAATATAAATCATTTTGTTTATACATTTTCTCTCTCATTTTTATCATTAAATAGTTAAAATGTCATTTTATATTAATCAACTAATTTATTAATTAAATTTATTAAACTCTTTCAATTCAATCAATCAAAGCTTAATGTTGTTAAGCTCTTGAGTAGTTTAAGTTTTTGACTAATTTATAAATTTTTAGCCAAATTATAAACTAATTTTACTGAAAACACCAAGAGCAAGAATATATAAACTGACGAATAATTTCTCCAGTGATTAGGCACATGCTTGAATAATTAAGAGTATTTACCTGGTCAAATATAGCTGTTGGAATGGCAAGGGTTGCCACAGCATTGGGGGCATCGACTATTCCAGATATTCGTCCTTCGCAAGGGATGCAAGACAGAAGGAGGTACACCTGATGTTCAACATATTAGCAATCAGTCATAGGTTGCATTTTGATTTCTAATGTAGAAATGGTATCTATAGCAATGAAAGAATAACTAAACCTGTTCTTTGGAGTATCCAAACTTGGATATGTAGTCAATGGCATTGAGTACTGCTCGCTTGTATGCAACACTTGCATCTAGGTAGTGTTGCCTCCCACTTTCATCCACACTGATGCCTTCAAATACTAGCCACTCTGAGAATCTTGGTTCAACAGGGCCTATCTCAAATATTGGGTTCACATGCAGGGGAGTGGGCCCCATTGGTGTAAGATACTCTTTCATTCCACCCCTTATAATTTCACACCTGATATATGCCATCAAAAAATGTTATCAGCTTTACGTGAACCAGTATGCTCACCTTGTGCAGAGGATATTTAAGAGTAGTGTTATGCAGAATCACTCAATAAATAAAATATGATACAATTATATTGAAAATTGTTATTTTTCACTTAAAACCATAAAAATCATAAGGACAAAGTTTTCTATAGAATATTTTTTGTAGCTGCATAATTATTAAGATTCAAACTTGAGACAATTGATTAAGCCAAAACAATCATGTATCAATTTTGAAAATTATGAGCATATGTTAGTAATACTTTTTTTATATAAAAATCTTTTATTGCTATTTCTTAACAAGAGCTATAACTACATTTAGTGACAAAGTTAGGTGAAAAAGTTTGGAGATATTTGTGATGCTGAAGTTACACTAACTTGAGTTCTAGGAAACCACTCATCTCTATTGCACCACAGAATGAGACCTCTCCATCACCCTGTGAGAAGTGCATGTCGCCAGTGCTGAGATTTGCTCCTTCTACAAAAACTGGGAGGTATACCTTTGCTCCTCTGCTGAGGTTTTTTATGTCACAATTTCCACCGTTTTCTCGTCCTGGTATTGTTCTTGCAGCTTCCTTTGCAATCTTCTCCCATTCAGTAGTGCCCTTTTGAATCTGGAAGCATGTAATGATAAGGGATCTAATCTAAACTTATGATCAGATTAATTAAATTTATAGACATTGTCGTGATCCATTATTACCTTTCCAAGGAGACAACTTTTTGTTGATGGTAAGTTTGCCAAGGGTCGTGAATGCAAAACCTCACATAGTTTGAAAGACTTAATACCATTTTCTTCCACATCTGTCTCCCTTTCATTCCATATGTTCAAGAGTTCCATTGATGGTGCAGTTCCAATTATCCCGGGGTGTGTTAAGCCTGGAAACCGTACTCCTATCCAGCATAAACATTTATGTGAGTAGCAAAACATGTAGAAAGTGCCTTGTAAAAATATATGTATTGTATTGTATATTTGTATCATAACATTGGATTAAAGTGACCAATTATTATGTTCACCTGGTATCTGAGGCGAATGAGCATATATTCCCTCAAAGTACCATATAGCTTTTGTGGCACAAGGAAAATGGTCTGTTAAAAAACCACCTCCATTTTCTCTGTCAAATGTTGCTGTAAAACCCCATTCATCTCCGGGTAGAGGACCCAAGTTGCATATTTCAACTGCAAGCAGATCTCCAGGCTTGGCAGGGATCCCATCATTATCCAGAATTCTGATCGGCCCACTAAGATAATGGACCTGGCCCATTTACACCACCATATCCAAAATTTATTAATCACATAAAATCACATAGCCTTCCTTGACAAAATAAATAAGAAAAAAATAATTTTATAATGTGATTAAATCTAAAAATTGACTTCTACATTAAAAAATTTATAAAAATAATAATTTTTTATTAATTGACAATATGACAGTATTTACAATAATATATAGTATATGACAATTAAACTCAATAAGAAAGAAACAAAAGAAACACATCTATCTATTTCATATGTTATCCAATAATTGTTTGGGTTCTATAATTGGGACCTTTTTTTGTTTATTTGTATTTAAGAATTAATTATATTTTAGTCCCTAAATTTGTTTGAAATTCAGTTTTTAATTCCTGAACAAAAATTTGACTCCCCAAGGTCCTTATCTTTTTTCTATTAAGGTTTTTATACTCTATATAAAGTTTTTAAGATTTTAAAAATTTGGTATTTAGTCCCTTAAACTTCATGAAATAGATGAAAATAATAAGATTCAAACTTTTGTTCACAGACTAAAAACATTAATTGAAAAAAGTTAAGGAACTTTGACCAGTCAAACTTTTGTTTAAGAACTAAAAACTAAATTTTGAAAAAATTTAAGACTAAAAACTTAGTTAAACCTAAATCTAAATATCAGGTTTAGGACAATTTGTAGTGTTGATCACTTGTACTTACAGTGGAGAGGTCTAAAAATTTTATGTCTAGTGCTGAATCGTCATCTTTAACAGCACCTCCTGTCCAGTCTACCATCTCTACTCTAAAGACTTCACCAGTATTAACAGCCGCCACGTGTGGTATGTGAGGGTGCCATCGGTTATGGAGTGGAGGTTTTTGTTCCCATGGCTTCTTCTTCAAGTCTATTGGCACAACCAGTCTTGGAGTTGGTGGCGCCATGGACAAACTGATACTATATGTTTTGGAAACGTTGAATTTGGTCTAGACTTTAGATAATGTTATTTCAAAGTTTAGCATTAAGGTGACGAAGGGGATTGTTTTCCATTGGTGGAAGGACAACACTTTGGTTCCTCCGAAAATGTTGTAGTCACCGATGAAAGTGTGGTGCGTATTCGTTGAGGCATAGAAATAGAATTGAATTGGATAGAATATATAAGTTATTAGTGTTTGATTAATTAGTCTTAGATAATGTTTGTTTGGTGAAAAAATAATCAAGTATAGGACCACATAACAGTACTGATTATTATTTACTACATTTTATCATATTTTTCTCATAAAGTTTGTAGATTTTATGTTAAATTGTATTTTTGATCATTTATTTTTATCAATTTGTTATTTTTGTCTTTCATTTTAAAACAGAGATATTTAATATTCTTATTTTTAAGAATATAAAATTTTGATTCTACTATTAATTTGATATGATTTTTGTTGATTATTAAATTTTGATATTATTTGATGACCTGTTAACACTTAAATATCATAATATTTAATGATGTGATATGTAGATATAAAAATTAAAAAATAATATACTAAAAAATCTTTATTTATATTTATTTTAGTGAGTAATTAATATTTATTTTATTAATAAATTTTATTTATATGTTTTTTTTTCATCTCTTAATATTATGTTATTAAATGTTAATATTTAAATATGTTTCAATATTAAAATTTTATAGTTAAATTTAACAAGAAGACTAAAATTTTGTATTTTTTAAAATTAAAAAATTAAATATTTTTATTTTAAAATAGAGGGACCAAAATTTTAAATGGGTAAAATAGAGAGAAAAAAAATTTAGCCTATATTTAAAAAAAAAAAAAACTTTGCTTGGAGTAAAATCGAATGAAAGAAAAAAGTTACACTTTTTCGCCTTTGGTTCAGGGAAGAATAAAAAGAGACAAGAAAACGTGGGCCATATTACATTTTTTCTTTTCTTAACTCTCTAAATATTAATTTTAGATACATGCACGATGACTTTTTGTAAGAGTTAAATTATATTTATGTCAAATCCAAACAATATTATTGTTAGACAATTGTTTTCGATCAAAGAAATCAAATAAAATATGCTGAAAATCTCTATATTAATGCCAAGCATATTTTTTCTATTATTGTAACATATTTATTTGATTTTATTTCTTTATTCGTTGTCAACAGAATTAACATATGTATAGCCAAAATCATTGATTATTGATTATATATACACACATCTCCTGTAAATCAAATAATTTAAATACTATTAATTAATTAAATCGCATATTTATTTGATTTCTTTCTCTAGAGATAATTGTCTAACAAATATTCTAATAATCAAATAATTATTATTTTAACACACTCTAAAAGTATATATCCACATCAAATAAAATATAGTTTGTTTTAATTTCAAATAAATAAAGTAAGATTCGTTGAAATTTTTTAAGGATGATGGAACTGCAAAAGTTGCAGTTCTTTAGAAACTATATGATTCCCATCACCTTTTTCCTCATCACCCTTTAACAATGAATTCCAACCCATAGGCGCTTCCGTCACTTCCCACCAACCCTCCATTATCATCTCGGTCTAATATACTTTCAACGAGTGATCATTATGTGGGTAAGATCGAGTAGTGTTCATTTCATTGTAGCCGAAAGCAATACATATATTTAATACTATATAGTATACAGTATATATTTCCTATAGATATGAAAACTGTAAATTAATAATACTTGAAGACATGATGTATTAAGAACTCACAGTTAAGGGATCAACATGCTTGACATCATGAGCAGTGTGATTGTTGGTGATAGCTCCTCCACTGAAATCTATCATCTCAACTCTAAAAAGTTGATCAGCTTTAACCTCTGCAACTGGGGGTATATCTGGGTGCCACCGGTTGTGAAGAGGGTGTTTCTGCTCCCAAGGCTTCTTCTTCAAGTCTATAGGCACTACTAGTGTTGGACCATACCGAGCCATTAGTTATGAGCAATTAATAGTATCTCAAAGATGATATTGTGCACAAATTAAAACAGTGGTGAGGGAGCTTCTTTTGATGGTGTTCCACTCTGATGATCTTTGCATTTCGAGTTACGTTTTATAGCCATTGAAAGCCTCTTGATTTGACTCTTCATCACCCTTTTCTGGCGCCTTCAGCTGGACCACTACTTACGCCATGATTGGAAAAGTCCACTAGCTGTTTCTGCTCTTTTGGTTCTTCTTCATTGGAAAGGAATGTGTACATGACTTCAATGGTTCAAAACAAACAAGAGCATCGATCGTGATGTATATCCCCAATATTACACCGTTTGAGGTAAATCCGTGTCATAGGTTATGTGTGAGTGTAAAGAAGAAAATAAGAAGAAAAAAGTTAAAAAAATTTAGAAAAATCTAATATAATTTTTTTTAATATAAATTAACTTATACAAAGTTAATTTTAATTTTTAGAAAAATTTATTTGATTTTAATATTTTTTATAAGTGTTTAAACATGAATAAATTTATCCAAACAAATATTTAACAACAAATAATTAATAGATCTCATGGATTATTAGAGTTTCGTGCCTACGTGGAGATCACTTTAACTTTTTAGAAATTTTTTTATTAGGCTTCTAAATATTTTTTTTTTTAAAATATTGTGAGTGAGTTATGATCTTTTTAGAGTTTTTGTAAACGAGTCCCGTAGTTTATAGTGATTTGAAAGTTAAAAAAAAAAAAGAAAAGAATATGTGATAGTTTTATTAATTTCAAGATTAAAATTACAAAATTAATAAAAAATAATGTATTTAATCATATTTATTCATTGGAAAGGAATGTGTACATGACTTCAATGGTTCAAAACAAATAAGAACATCGATCGTGATGTATACCCCCAATATTACACCGTTTGTGGTAAATCCGTGTCGCATAGGTTATGTGTGAGTGTAAAGAAGAAAATAAGAAGAAATTTTTTTAGAAAAATCTAATATAATTTTTTTTAATATAAATTAACTTATACAAAGTTAATTTTAATTTATAGAAAAAATTATTTGATTTTAGGCTAAAAAACCTAATTTAGTTCCTTATAATAATTGTTTGTTTCAATTTAGTCCCACTTTTATTTTTTGTCTCAATTTGGTCCCTAATAAATTAAATTGTTGCAATGTCGGACTTCCGTCCAAATTATTTAAACGGAGTTAACTATTGACCACGTGGATGCTACGTGGATGCCACGTGGAAGCTACCTAGATGTCATGTGGATGTCAAATTTTTGTCATGCATCTGGAACCAGAACAGTCCGTTCTGAAATCGGAACGTCCCGTTCTAGTTTCAGAACTGGCCGTTCTGGTCCCAGAATGCCATTATATCCAGAAATTTTAGATCATGAGGACAATACTTATTCATATATTTGTAATATTAAAAATTTCACATATAATTTTTAAAAGTATAAATATATATTATAGTTATTTTTTACAAGTTTTTATATCTACAATTATGATTAAGGATGAAAATAAACTAGGTCAGATTATGTTATATTATAATTTAACAGATTTAAACCTAATTGTTGTTAAAAATATGTTATAATTATTATATATTTATCTGTCATAGACATTTTTTTTAAAATGTTTGGTTACATAACAATCTTAAAAACCTACTTAATAATAATTTAACACTAATAAAAACATATAAATAAATATGTTAAATCTTATAAAAATTAAGTTTAATTTATTTATCATATAAAGATGTTTTTAATATGTGATATAAATTTTCAATTTTAATTTTTTTATCAACATAAACAATAAATAGAAAGTACAAAAGTTTGACAAATATCAGATCAATGAATAACTCCTCGAAATTTATATTTTATACATACGATAATTTAAATATATATATATATATTAGAATATAATTTTATTTTTTAAAATATATTATTTTTTAGATAAAAAAAATTGTGTATGTGTAAATGGTTTGCTTTCGATTTTTGAATCACACTAGTGCACTATGTTGGTTGGCGTTCTGGAACGGCGCGTTCTGAATCCAGAACGACCCGTTCTGGAAGCCAGAACGGCCCGTTCTGGTTTTAGAACGGTCCGTTCTGCTACACGCGTTGGTGTTAAATAATGCATCTGAAATGGGCCGTTCCAGATGCAAAATTTACACACCATGAGTGCAACCAGAACGAGCCGTTCCAGTTCCAAATGCATGATAAAATTTGACATCCACGTGGCATCTACGTAACTTCCACGTGACATCCACGTGGCCAATAGTTAACTCTGTCTAAATAATTTGGACGAAAGTCTGACATTGTAACAATTTAATTTATTAGGGACCAAATTAAGACAAAAAATAAAAGTGAGACTAAATTGAAACAAACAATTATTATATATAAGGGACCAAATTAGTTTTTTAGCCTTGATTTTAATATTTTTTTAAAAGTGTTTAAACATGAATAAATTTATCCAAACAAATATTTAACAACAAATAATTAATAGAGTTTATCATGGATTATTAGAGTTTCGTGCCTACGTAGAGATCACTTTAACTTTTTAGAAATTTTTTTTATTAGGCTTCTAAATATTTTTTTAAAAAAATACTGTGAGTGAGTTATGATCTTTTTAGAGTTTTTGTAAATGAGTCCCGTAGTTTATAGTGATTTGAAAATTAAAAAAAAAAAAAAGAATATGTGATAGTTTTATTAATTTCAAGATTAAAATTACAAAATTAACAAAAAATAATGTATTTAATTATATTTTTAGTTTAAAATCCAATTAAATTTTTTAAGCCGTTCATATAAACTTAGTGATATGTTAAACTTTGAGGAAAAGAATATGGTAAAACTTTGTCATTTCATTTGCGGTAGCATGCTATAGAAAGACACTTAAAAGGAGGAATGACAGAAACTTTTTATTCGAAGTATTGGAAAAATTTCTCATTATACGAAGCCGATGGATATCCCGTACTAATAACATGACTACAAAAAAAGGAAAATTACACTAGCTTCTCTTGATGTCTTTTCAAATGACACATATCTCTCCTATAATTTTTAAGTGAATACTAACTTCCCTAATTTATTTATTTCAGTGACACATATAACCTCTTATATAAGATAATATTATTTATATATATTATTAAGAGAATAAATTATTAATGTAAATATTAATAATTGAATGAGACTTGATCTCTTATTCAATTTTAGGTCTCAAATTACATCCTACATATCATGTGTGTTGTGATTTTAAAAATATATCAACTTTAAAAAATAATTGTAAAAAATGAGTTGAGAAATTATTATTTTCAAAACTAAAGAACAATGAAAATTTCCACAAAGAATACAAAATATTGTATGTAATTTAAAAATGAAGAATACACATGTATTAGTGCACATGATTGACAGAATATAATTTTTTTTTCATTTTTTTTTCACTTCAACTACTGATATTATTTTAAGAGAGGTGAATGATTTTTAAAAATTTAAAAAAATTTATGTGTCATTTAAACAAATATCAAGGAGAGGTAAGTGCGATTTAAAAAAAAAAACTTGAGTTGTATTCAGTATTTGGTATACACTAGACAACAAACCAAATTTTTTTTAATGTTGTACCTGTCTGATGGGCACACTAAGTCTTCTAGTAGTCTAAAGGTCGAACAAGAGCTCCGATCCAATACGCTGGTGAAAGGGTTGGTACCTGCAAAAGGCACTCCAACGCTCAAGTCAGGACAAGCACGAATATCTAGGGTAATTAATGAACAGTGACGTTACCTTTTGACATGAGCTATTTATACTGACATTTATGGCCCTTGGACCCCATGGGCCCTACAACATATTTACCGTATTAGGTAATACACCTTAATCGACTAATTAACCCATAATCTTTGATTAAGAGTACCAAATGATGATAGGCCGATCCTGGTGGCCGATTAGCGTTCGGCTTCCTGGTTCTGCCATTCGGCGGCCGATAGGGTGGTGGCCGAACCCCCCTACCTGTACACTGCCCCCCAGCCTTGAAGGAAGGTGAAGCTTTCTTTAAGGGTAAAATGGAGACAGTTGCTAGGGTAAGGTGAACGGTTGCATACTTCTAACCGTTGGATTTCGGGGATCGAACGGTTACATTTTTTCAAAACTTGAATTTTCCCGCCCGTTTTTTGAGCTTATAAATAGCTGATTGGTAGGGCCATTCACACGTATTGCTCTCAACCGAATTGTGGTAGCCGAAGGGCTGAAGCCGATCCGACTAACGATTGTGGTTTTGTGAAGAAATTGGTAAGTTTTTATTGCCATGGTTAATACTTCTTAAAGTTCTTCGGCCAGTAGCTCTCGGTCATTGTCGTCCGAGGGGGCATCGTCCAGTAATTCGAGTCGTTCTAGCGTGGTTCGGTCTTCAGATCATGCCGAAAGGCCGAATGAAACTACATCTTCGGAGGAAACTACTACTAGCGGGGGCGCCGAGGTCTAGGGGAAGTCGAAACGCGTGTCGAATCGGCAACGGTATGGTCCGTCCGAGGTGCCTGGCTACGAGTGGGTGAACGGGGAGGTGACCTCCTACTATTCGCGCTACCAAGACACAAGCATGATATCACCAACCTTCTAGATTATACAAATTGCTTAACTTTTAATGCTAAGGAGGATCCGTATCCGATCGGTATTCGGTCGTGCCGAAACAATGCCTTTCCGAACCCTGATACAATTTGTCTTGATCAAAGTGGAGCGAAAATGGAATCGTTCTACATATATGACTGTCTCCTTCGGGATCTCAAAGTAAAACTACCTTTTGATGAGTTTACGATGGGAGTGTTGAGGGTTCTCAACGTTGCCCCAACCCAATTACATCCGAACAGCTGGGCTCAATTGCAGGGTTTCAAGCACTTGTGCCAATGTATTCATTCGTCCGAATGGGAGACGTTTCTCTTTTGGTGAGGATGATAGAAGCATGTTTCCTCTATACTGGACGCGTGCCCCTCGGCCATACGATGTAGTACCGAAGAGTCTGCTTTCGGCTGAAGAACGGAAAGATTTGAAACTGTTACTCCGCCTTCCTCGGCGCTTGCCGCCCCAATCTCTAATTAACTTGGTTGAGTCTCCCCAATGGGAGAACGACCTGATAGGTACGTTATCCATCCTATTTCGGCTATCGGATAAATTCTTATTGATGTTTACTTTTATCTTTTTGCAGGAATTATGGTGTCCAGTGGAGCTGACGAACTTAACATCCGCAACCTGTTGGCCGCGCGAGTGAAGCAGGTTAAGCAA